ATAGGACACTGCAACAGAGCCTGCCAGCTGGTCTTTTGTGTCTGTGCCCCGAGAAATACAAATCCATATTTGGATAAGTAAACCCAATATTCTGCATTGCCTATCGAGAATTCAATTGTTATCTCAATAAAGGTTGATATCAGTTTAATTCGTGTTGAGTTACACATTTACTTATGAGTATATAATGTAGAATTCATATTCATGAGACAGATGAACAAAACACTATTGCTGAATTTCGTTATAGTATAGCTGTATACTGAATGCATATTCCGTGTTTTGTATCTCTTCATGATCATATATATCTTGTATCTTGGCAACCCTCACAGTACAATCTGCCATCTGTATCCAGGCAGGCTGTTACATGTTTTTATATGCACAATTTTATGTATTAATAAATGTATTCCGTGAATTTGAATCTGTGTGTTTGTGTTGCAGATTGATCTGACGATTGATCCTCTAATAGCCATTAAAGAATCATCTCGTGGTTTGTTTACTGCTACAATTAATAAATTATCCCAGTATATTAACAAAACTCATTTATTGGTGCCTGTGTGAGGATCCTTCAGATTGAAATGAGAATCAATCAAGTGGAATAATTGTGCTGGCAAAAAAAGGTTTAACGTATAGTGCAGTGTGCTTGCTCTTGAAACTATAGTGCAGTGTGCGCTGCTTTGTGATCTATCTGTTCGGTTGTTTTGTATTCGATACTGTGTTATTTTGTGGTGATAGAACTGTGGTATTGTGGTTGAACCTAATATGCTCAAAGGTGTCACGAACAGTTCTTTCCGGGCCCTATGCAGATGACATGAGCAGAGGACTTCGGAACTGCGAAGATACGCTGGGGAAAAGGTCATGCAGGAGAGGGTCTGGAGGCAAGGGGCGTGTCCAAGGTGAGCAGGTGTCCTGGGGAAGTGAGTCCGGGGCGAACAAACAAAGACAAAGTCCAAACAGAGAATCCAAAACAGAAGAGTTGAGTCCAAAACCAGGAGATCAATCCAGGGAATAAAAGCATGAACCGGGTCGGGACCGGTGGGGTGGGGAATCAGGAACAGAAGGTTAAAATCATAACGGAGCAGGAATCATAAAATCATAAATGCAGCAGGATCCCGGTGTAGCGGCGAGGCTTATTAATAAGACAGAATTAAGTGTTGCTGTGCTTTCCCAAATGAGGCCTCATCTCTCTCTTCATCTCTGTGGTGCAGCCACGGAGAAGCTATTCATGCAGGCTGATTTAAAGATGTTTTCTTTTGATAAGGGACAGCTCCCAAAGGGGGATGCACTTAGCTAAGCCTGGCTATCATGATCAATGGTCATCCAT